CGAAAAATCGAAACTTTGAGAAGAAGTCGAGAAATGGAAAAATCAAAAATAGATTAATTGAGAAACCGGAAAACTGAAAATTTAGCAATATCAAATTTTGCCAAATTGAAAAATAGAAATACTGAAGAAGTGAAAAGTCAATAAATCGAGAATTGTAAAAATTTCAAACATTGGACAATTAAAATGTTGCAAAATTGAAAAATCGAGAAATTGAAAAATTCAAAAACCGAGACATCGAGAAATCGAAAAATCAAAGGATCGAGAAATCCAAAAGTCGAAAGGCGAGAGGAAGAGTTAAAAATTGAAAAATTGATAAATCGAGTAATTTTGAAAAAGAAAAATTGGAAAATCGAAAATTAAAAAATTGAAATATGTATGTATAGAAGAACCGAAAACTCACGAATCCAGAAACCTGGAATTTTAAAGACAGGAAAAGTTGAAAAATTGTGAAATCGAAAGTAATGAAATAGTCGAAAAATTGAAAAATCTAAAGTTTAACAAAAAATTTAAAAACCAAAATCCCGGAGTCCGAAAATCGAAAAGTCGAAAAATCCCAAAACTGAAAGAAATATCCAAAAATTGAGAAATTAAAAAACTGGAGAATTGAGAAACCGAAAAACCAAAAAGTAAAGTCGAAAAATCGAAGAACTGAAAAATCGAAACTTTTAGAAGTCGAGAAATGGGAAAATCCAAAAATAGATTAATTGAGGAATCGCAAAATTGAAAATTTAGCAACCTCAAGATTTTAAAAATTGAAAAATAGAAATATTGGGAAACTGAAAAGTCAATAAATCGAGAAATCTAGAAATTCCAAAATTTAAAAAATTGAAAAATGGACAAATCGAGTAATCCAAAAATCGACACATGAAAAAATTTGAAAACAGACATGGAGAAATCGAAAAACTAAAAAAGCAAAGTCGAAAAGTCGTAAGCTTAAAAAATCGAAAAATTGAAAAATCAAAAACCTGAAAAATGGAAAAATTCAAGTATTGAAGAAATGAAAAAATGAAACTTTGGGAAGTCGAGAAATGGGAAAATAAAAGAGTAGTTATTTTTTACTTTAACTTTTAGCAATAATAAATAATCCAAACATGAAAAAAACAAAAAAATATAAATTGGAAATCTAAAATTTAAAAATCGAGACATTTGAAAAATCGGATCATTGAAAAATCGAAATAATCAAAAATTGGATAATCGAAAAGTTAAAAAAAAATGGAAAATCGAAAATTTTAAAAATCCCGAAAATTGAAATATTGAAATACAGAGGAACTGAAAACTCGAGAAATCAAAAATCTAGAATTTTAAAAAATTGAAAAATCAAAATATCGAGAAGTTGAAAAATTGAGAAATCGAAATACAAAACAGCCGAAAAATCCAAAGTTTAAAAAACGAAAAAGTGAAAATCGGGAAATCCAGAAGTCGAAAAATCGTAAGTTTAAAAAATCGAAAATTGAAAAATCAAAAATCTGAGAAATCTAAAAATTGTAACAACAAAAACCTGAAAAATCGAAAAATTGGAGAATTGAGGAATTGAAAAATCGAAACTTTGGGAAGAAATGGGAAAATAAAAAAAAAGATTACTTCAGAAATCGAAAAACTGAAAATTGAAAAACGCCAAAATTTGAAAAATTCAAAAATTCAAAAATCGAAATATTTAGAAATCGTAAAATTGAAGAGGATACAAATTGAAAAATTGTGTCATTGAAATATCGGAAAATTGAAAAATCGAAAAATAACAAAATGGAGAAACCGAAAATTTAAAGAATGGAAAAATTGAAAAAAAATTCCAAATATCTCACTCACTCACTCAACACGGATTCATAAACGGAGGATATAAAATTTAAATTACATCCACTACTGTAAAATTGGGAAATTACGTCATTTCATTGTTGGTGACAAATTTTGGTGAGCATTCTACCATTCGATAATACAATTTGAAAAGTAAAGTCCGACCAGACGGTCGAAACGGGTTAGTTCTTCGTAGTGGATGCGTATCAGATCAGCTCTAACGAAAGTCGGCTTATAGATAAATCGCTTAGAGTCGATATTGGCATGAGTGCGCTCTGGTTTGTAGATCAAACAAGTTCTCAGTTTCTTTTTGTGGTATGTTATTTGTTGGTTACTAAACATTTCTGTAATGATTCTAAAAATAAAGTTTCCATATTTAACATAATAAATTGTGAAATTCAAAACACTATCAGAAATATGGAAATATTCTAGTACCAGTTCATACAAACAACTGCACAAATCGCACCAGTCATAAACAAATTCTTTAACCACAAACATAAAATTTGTTTACTAGAATAGCAGAGCAAAACGAGATAACCTCTCTTCGTCGCAATTTAACATTTGACGTTAACTCCACACCAGAATCACAGTAATGTACTTCATCAAAATAATTTTAATTATATTTTTCGCTGTAGCAATTGTTTCTCCGTTTAAGGTAACAGTGTCCAATTAACCATTTCATAACCCGCCATTTTAATGTTCTAGCACTCTAAAACCGTTGTCTTAAACCAGAACCAAAATACCACGAACCGTTCAAGAAGAATTTTTAATTTTGGTTGTAGACCTGGGTACGTAATGCAAAACCATGTGTGTACAAAGTTGTAAGTAAAGTGTCCTATTTAATATTATGTACTTGAATATTAAAATTGGTTGTTCGACGCTGTTTTAGATTTTAATAGCCGGGGGTTGCTAGCAGTAATAATTATTGTTGCTACAGGTGCGGTATGTATGTTTTTTTTACAATTCTGTTTGGTGATATAGTAGATTTAGTGTGGTCATCCTACTGAAGTAAATTTCGTTAAAACGCTTAGTCAAGAAATAGCACATTCTGTCGTTGTTATAGATTGTCAACGAGGTTACGTAGACGTGGAAGGTTCATGTAAAAAATCAAGAAACCCAGTAAGTATAAATAACGTTGTTGTTAGTTTTAGTACAACTGTTTTCATTCTTCCAGGTACCGAAGACTAATTTAGATGATAATAGAAATAATACCCTTATGTATCTTCCATAAAATATTTTTTTTATAAACACGAAAAATAAAAATAAAAAATAGTTTTGTTTTATTTTTTTTAGAAAAGAAAAAACTCAACTTGAAAATGCTGGATATTGTTCATTTTTTAAAGATTGGTTTTTCCATGGCGTAAACTTACGCGATAACCTTTTGGGTTTAATCTGGTTTGACACAATTTTCAAATATTATAGAGTTTAATATGTTAAAGACAACACATATTTATGTTTTGTTAACAGTAATTCTAGTTCTAACAACCACTGTAAAAGAAGTTAACTTAGTTACGCAAAGTTTGAACTTCTTACGTGGCCCGAGCGTTGTGAGTGTCGGCTGTAAAACCGGATATGTGAATATAGACAAAGAATGTAAAAAAATAAGTAAAAAAAATATAGTAAGTAAGAAATACTTAAGTAAATTTTAGTTTTAGCAAGTGAAATTGTAGGTGAATTCTCCAGACTTAAGCAATGGAACACTGGTAAAACCCATTTTCATGAAACCAAAAAGTAATGGAGGGTCTAACTAAAAAAATTACTGTACACTAGTCTGGGATTAAATGTAATTACAGATATTGACATAAAATGTTTATTATTCGATTGTTTAACCATCAGTATCACTGTGTTTGCACAGTTCTCCTATATCATAGAACGAGTTAAGACGTATAAACAACGTCAAAATTCTACGAATAAATCGTTCATACGAGAAAAGAAAATTTTGATAACCTCGCATTCACTGGAATTCTATTTTCGCTCAAAATCCTTAAAATGCTCTTGATTAAGTTAGCTGTTGTAACGCTATCTTTAATAGCACTTTGGCCATTTATGGTAAGAAATATTTTTACCACCACAACCCCACTACCAACCGTACTTTTAGCCCCTGATTGCTGCTGAACAAAGTGTGACCATTAAAACCCCTAAAGTCCAGGAACACATTTTCGTCGTTGACTGTAAACCTGGACACTTGAATATCAACGGTGTTTGTCAACCCTTATGGTAACAACCCTATGATAAAAATGTCAACTTGTCTTAGTGAAATAAAAATAAAAATATATTAGTCATCAGTTGAGTTTATGTTCCACACGTGACGTTACTCTTCTTAAAACTTCACAATCGTACTGCGATAAACTTTGCTGGTTGGTTTGTACGCGTTTTTTTTTATTGCTCATTTCATCATGTTAAAGTCCACATACGTTTCTGTATTATTGTTGACAGTCATAGCTTTTCGGATAAACTTTACGGTAAATATTTAAAGCCGCGCAGTTTTTTATCTGGCTTTGATTTAGTGTTCCAGGCCCGTATTTTGTGGATTTTGCAGTGCGAGATGTCTGCCTGGATATATCCTTCTGAAAGGAGAGTGCAAGAAAATACGAGAAAATGTAAGTAGGAATGGCTCAGTTTTAATAATCACGAATTCGCTATTTTAGGTAAAGAACTTCAACAAAGCGACGGAACTGGATTGGTATTTATCAGTACTACAGGTCGAAGAAATTAGCGAACATTAGTTGCAATATCGAGTCGAGTGCCCAAAAATGGTCTAGATTCAATTTTTGTAATTTATTTGTACATAGAAAAATATAACCTATTAGAATTACCCGTCGCAAACTCCTTTAAACAACCTAACCTAATATTCCGCTTTTTATTGATCGTTGAGCAACATCAAAGAGCCTTTTAAAACTGTCATCGATGGATCTGTTTACATAAAATTCAAGTTTAATGAAACGTCAAGCTTTTAGGACGCTTTGAGATCGAACGTCGAATTTCTCCAGCGAATCAGATCAAATATCGACTACAAATACTGAAAGTCGGAATTTACTTCTGAAAATTGAAAATATTATCGGCGCAGATACTGCAATATTCGAAAATGCACTCACGCTGAAACGAAGTTTTAATAAAGTGTTTCGTATCAAGAATTCAGAAAGCTCGGCAAAGTTGCGAAGTTTTAATTGAAGTTTGCGATTTTTGCGCTGTTTGAATGGATAAAAACGGTGGAGTTTTAAATGGGTGTTTATTGAAGGGTTGGGATTATTGCGGGTGAGGCAATTCGTCTTTGCTCCACTTGATTTCGACGGAGTTTCCGGTTCTGACTGACTCCTCGCAAGCTGTGGCGATTTTGGAAACGGCTAGGACGTCTTTGGTGTCGATGGAAAGCGAGGTTTTACCTAGAAAGAAAATGGGTTCAATTTTTTTTTCGTTTTTTCAGTTCTTCGATTTGCAAATTTTCAATTTTCCACTTTTTCGATTTTGCAAGTTTTGGTTTTTCAGTTTTTCCACTTTTTTGATTTTTTCCGATTTTTATTTTTTGCATATTTAATTTTTCGATTTTTACATTTTTCGATTTTTCAACTTTTCGAATAAAAAAAAATGGAAAATTTCCAAAATTCTATACTGAAGAAAAAAATGAAAAGTAAGAATTTGAAAAATTGAAGAAACGAAAAATTAAAAATTCAAAACATCAAAAATTGAAAAATCGATAAATTGTAAAATTGACAAAAAGGAACTTTTGTAAAATCAAAATATTAAAAACCAAGGAACCCAGACATTCAAGGAGAAATCCAAAAAATTCGGAAATTAAAAATTTAAACATTTAAAACATGAGGCATCGAAAAACCAAAGATTGAAGATTTGAAAAATTGAATAAACGAAAATTTATAAAATCGAAAGAAACGATGAAAAAATAAAGGAAACGAAGAAACGAAAAATTGGGATATAAAACGAGGGAATGAAAAAAACTTGGAAAATAGATTTTTTAAATTTCTAATTTTCCGATTAATTTTTTTTCTTTTGATTTTTAAATTTCGAGAATTTCATGTTTTCAGTGTTTCGATGTTTCGTTCGTTTATTTCTTCGATTTGCAAATTTTCAATTTTCCACTTTTTCGATTTTTCAATTATTTAGTTTCTCATTTTTAATTTTTCGACTTTTCAGTATTTGGGATTGCGGAGTTTTTGTTATTTTCAATTCATTTTTTCCATTTTTCGGTCCTTCAATTTTTCGATTCGTAATTTTTCATTTTTAAATTTTTCAGTTTTTCCATTTTTCATTCAATGTTTAAATTCTTCGTTTCTTCAATCCTCCGATCTCCAATTTTTGATTTTGTAGGTTTTCGTTTTTTCAATTTTTTCCGATTTTTCAATTTTTTGATTTTTCAACTTTTCGAATCAAAAAAATGGAAAAATGTCAAGATTGAAAAATTAAAGATGAAAACTAAAAAATCGAAAGATCAAAAATTAAGAAACTAAAATAGAACAAGTATAAAATCGTAATGTTCAGAATTAAAGAATCAGAAAATTACGAAATCCAAAGTAAATTGCAAAATGGAAAAATTTAAAAATTGGAAAACCGAGGAATTGAAAAATCAGAATATAAAATCGAAAAAATGAAAATTTCGGTTTTTCAGTTCTTCGATTTGCAAATTTTCAATTTTTCACTTTTTCGATTTTGCAAGTTTTCGGTTTTTTACTTTTTCGACATTTTCGATTTTTTCCGATTTTAATTTTTTCATTTTTCATTTTTCGATTTTTACATTTTTCGATTTTTCAACTTTTCGAATACAAAAAAATTGAAAAATTCCAAAACCCTAAACTGAAGAAAAAAAAAAAATTAAGAATTTGAAAAATTGAAGAAACGAAAAATTGGAAATTCGAAACATCAAAAATTGAAAAATTGCAAAATTAAAAAAAACGAAATTTTGTAAAATCAAAACATTAAAAACCAAAGAACCCAGAAAATCAAGGAGAAATCCAAAAACTGCGGAAATTAAAAATTTAAAAATTAAAAACATGAGGCATCGAAAACCAAAGATTGAAAATTTGAAAAATTGAATAAACGAAAATTTTTAAAATCGACAAAAAAAATGAAAAATTTTTTCGATTTTTCTTTTTTTTTTTATTTACTTTCCCATTTTTAATTTTTCGATTTTTCAACTTTTCAAATGAAAAAATGGAAAAATTTAAAAACTGGAAAACCGAGGAATTGAAAAATCAGATTGAAATTTTGAAAAATATAAAATCGAAAGTTAAAAAATCAGGAACTTAAAAGATTGAAGAAACGAAGAATTGAAAAATCGAGAAATTATAAATAAAAAAAAAATCATTTCTTGGATTTTTCAATTTCTATTTTTAGTTTCTGGATAGTTATTTATTTTCTAATTTTTCAAATATTTTTTTCGGATTTGTAAGCTTCTCGATTATTAGTTTTTCAGTGTTTCAATTTTTCGCTTTTTTAGTTCTTCGATTTGCAAATTTTCAATTTTCAACTTTTTCGATTTTGCAAGTTTTCGGTCTTTTAGTTTTTCGACTTTTTCGATTTTTACATTTTCAGATTTTTCAACTTTTCGAATAAAAAAAATTGACAATTCAAAGCATCAAAAATTGAAAAAATTAAAAATCGATACATTGCAAAATTGAAAAAACGAATAAATTTTGTAAAATCAAAACATTAAAAACTAAAGAACCCAGAAAATCAAGGAGAAATCCAAAAACTGCGGAAATTAAAAATTTAAAAATTAAAAACATGAGGCATCGAAAACCAAAGATTGAAAATTTGGAAAATTGAATAAACGAAAATTTTTAAAATCGAAAAAAACAATCAAAAAATTTTTCGATTTTTCGTTTTTTTTTATTTACTTTCCCATTTTTAATTTTTCGATTTTTCAACTTTTCAAATGAAAAAAATGCAAAAATTCAAAAATTGTACTATTAAAAAAATAGGAAATCAAGAATTTGTAAATTGAATAAACGAAAAATTGAAAATTCGAAAGATCAGAAATTGAAAAATGTATTAATTGAAAAAGTGCAAAATCGAGAAAACGAAATATTGTAAAATTGAAAATCAAAGAAAACAAAAAATTCAGAAATCCAAAAATTGTAAAAATGAAAAATTTTAAAAAGTGGAAAATATTCGAGGAATCGAAAAATCAGATTGAAATTTTGGGAAACATAAAATCGAAAAAATGAATATTAAAAAATCAGGAACTTGGAAAACTGAAGAAACGAAGAATTGAAAAATCGAAAATTTATAAATAAAAAAATCATTTCTTGGACTTTTAAATTTCTTTTTTTGTTTCTCGAGATTTTTTTTCAATTTTTCGATCCCTCAATGATACAGTTTTTCGATTTTACATTATTTTTTCTTTCCAATTTTTCGATTATTTTTTTCTGATTTTTATTTTTTGCCAAAACTTCCAAAACCCTACACTGAAGAAAAAAATGAAAATTAAGAATCTGAAAAATTGAAGAAACAAAAAATGGAAAATTCGAAATATCAAAAATTGAAAAAATTAAAAATCGATAAATTGCAAAATTGAAGAAACGAAATTTTGTAAAATCAAAATATTAAAAACCGAAGAACCTAGAAAATCAAGGAGAAATCCAAAAACGACGGAAAATAAAAACATGAGGCATCGAAAAACCAAAGATTGAAAATTTGAAAAATTGAATATACGAAAATTTATAAAATCGAAAGAAACAATGAAAAATCAAGGAAATGAAGAAACGAAAAATTGCGATATAAAACGAGGAAATGAAAATTAAAAAATCGTGAAAATAAAAAATCTAAAACTTGGAAAATAGATTTTTTCTAATTTCTAATTTTTCGATTTTTAAGTTTCTAGATTTTTATGTGTTCAATGTTTCGATTTTTCGTTCCTTTACTTCTTCGATTTGCAAATTTTCAATTTTTCAATTTTTCGATTTTTTCAATTATTTGGTTTCCCATTTTTAATTTTTCGATTTTTCAACTTTTCAAATAAAAAAAATGCAAAAATTCAAAAATTGTACTATTAAAAAAAATAGGAAATCAAGAATTTGAAAATTCAAGAAACGAAAAATTGAAAGTTCGAAAGATCGGAAACAGAAAAATTTATTAATTGAAAAAGTGCAAAATCGAGAAAACGAAATATTGTAAAATCGAAAATCAACGAAATCAAAAAATCGAGAAATCCAAAAATTGTAACAATGAAAAATTTTAAAAATTGGAAAATATTCGAGGAATCGAAAAATCAGATTGGAATTTTGAAAAATATAAATCGAAAAAATGAAAATTAAAAAATCAGGAACTTGGAAAACTGAAGAAACGAAGAATTGAAAAATCGAAAAATTATATAAAAAAATCATTTCTTAGATTTTTCAATTTCTTTTTTTTCTCGATATTTAATTTTTCAATTTTTCGATATCTCAATGATATAGTTTTCCGATTTTACAATATGTATTGACGGTTCCATATTTTCCGATTTTACAATTTTTGGGTTTCCCAATTTTTTGATTCGTTTCTTTTTTTTCCAATTTTTCGTTTTTTTTTTTATTTTTATTTTTTGCATTTATAATTTTTCGATTTTTCAACTTTTCGAATAAAAAAAATGGAAAAATTCCAAAACTTTAAACTGAAGAAAAAAACAAAAATTAAGAATTTGAAAAATTTTGCAAAATTGAAAAGACGAAATTTTGTAAAATCAAAATATTAAAAACCAAAGAACCCAGAAAATCAAGGAGAAATCCAAAAATTGCAGAAATTAAAATTTTGAAAAATTAAAAACTCAGGCATCGAAAAACCAAAGATTGAAAATTTGAAAATTGAATAAACGAAAATTTATAAAATCAAAAGAAACAACGAAAAAATAAAGGAAATGAAGAAACGAAAAATTGGGATATAAAACGAGGGAATGAAAGTTAAAAAATCGTGAAAATAAATCAAAAACTTGGAAAATAGATTTTTTTAATTTCAAATTTTTCGATTAATTTTTTTTTCTTTTAATTTTTAAATTTCGAGATTTTCATGTTTTCAGTGTTTCGATGTTTCGTTCGAGTTGCAAATTTTCAATTTTTCGATTTTTTCAATTATTTAGTTTCCCATTTTTAATTTTTCGATTTTTCAACTTTTCAAATCAAAAAATGCAAAAATTCAAAAATTGTACTATTAAAAAAAAGGACATCAAGAATTTGAAAATTGAAGAAATTAAAAAGTGACAGTTCGAAAGATCGGAAATTGAAAAATTTATTAATTGAAAAAGTGCAAAATCGAGAAAAAGAAATACTGTAAAATCGAAAATCAAAGAAATCAAAAAATCTAAAAATCCAAAAATTGTAAAATGGAAAAATTTAAAAATTGGAAAACCGAGGAATTGAAAAATCATATTGAAATTTTGAAAAATATAAAATCGAAAATTAAAAAATCAGGAACTTGGAAGATTGAAGAAACGGAGAATTGAAAAATCGAAAATTTATAAATAGAAAAAATCATTTCTTGGATTTTTCAATTTCTTTTTTTGTTTCTCGATTTTAATTTTTCAATTTTTCGATCTCTCAATGATACAGTTTTCCGATTTTACAATATTGACAGTTCCATAATTATCCGATTTTACAATTTTTGGGTTTCCCAATTGTTTTATTCGATTCTTCTTTTTTCTTTCTAATTTTTCGATTATTTTTTCGGATTTTTATGTTTCTCGATTATTAGTTTTTCAGTGTTTCAATTTTTCGTTTTTCAGGCAAATTTTCAATTTTCCACTTTTTCGATGTTGCAAGTCTTCGGTTTTTTAGTTTTTCGACTTTTCGTTTTTTTCCGAATTTTATTTTTTGCATTTTGAATTTTTCAATTTTTCAACTTTACGAATAAAAAAAATGGAAAAATTCCAAAACTCTAAACTGAAGAAAAAAATGATAAAAAAGAATTTGAAAAATTGAAGAAACGAAAAATAGAAAATTCGAAATATCAAAATTGAAAAAATTAAAAATCGATAAATTGCAAAATTGAAAAAACGAAATTTTGTAAAATCAAAATATTAAAAACCAAAGAACCCAGAAAATCAAGGATAAATCCAAAAACTACGGAAATTGAAAATTTAAAAATAAAAAACATGAGGCATCGAAAAACTAAAGATTGAAAATTTGAATAATTGAATAAAGAAAAATTTATAAAATCGAAAGAAATAATGAAAAAATAAAGGACATAAAGAAACGAAAAATTGCGATGTAAAACGAGGGAATGAAAATTAAAAAATCGTGAAAATAAAAAATCAAAAACTTGGAAAATAGATTTTTTTTAATTTCTAATGTTTCGATTTTTTTTTCTTTCGATTTTTAAGTTTCTCGATTTTCATCTTTTCAATGTTTCGATTTTTCGTTCCTTTACTTCTTCGATTTGCAAATTTTCAATTTTTCAAATAAAAAAAAATGCAAAAATTAAAAAATTGTATTATTAAAAAAATAGGAAGTCAAGAATTTGAAAATTGAAGAAACGAAAAATTGAAAATTCGTAAGATCGGAAATTGAAAAATTTATTTATTGAAAAAGTGCAAAATCGAGAAAACGAAATATTGTAAAATCGAAAATCAAAGAAATCAAAAAATCGAGAAATCCAAAAATTGTAACAATGAAAAATTTTAAAAATTGGAAAATATTCGAGAAATCGAAAAATCAAACACTGAAAATTTGCAAAATTAATTAAATTAAGAATTATATAATCGAAAGTAACTTTGAAAAAATAAAGAGAATGAAAAAATCAAACATTGTCATATAAATTCCAGGAAATGAAAATTAAAAAATGGAGAAAATGAAAAATAAAAATGAAAATATTGAAAAATTGGGAAAACAAAGAACAGAAAAATCAAAAAATTTAAAACTGAGAAGCTGAAAAATCGAAAAATGAATAATGTAAAATTAAAAAAAAAATAAAGGCGAAAAAATGAGATCAAATTTGAGAATTTTATTTTTTATAAGTTAATATTATAAGTTAAAATTAATATATGTAGGTATAAAATGTTCAAGAAAATCTAAAAAAAATATACCACAAGTATACACTCAAACTATCTTGAATTTTTTAGAGAGGTTTTATTAGCCAAAATTTTGAGACGTCATCAATTTTTTGGGAGGAGATAAACGAATAAATTTTCAATACAAAAATTGATATAGACGACAGACAAACAGACGGAAACGGGAGGAAAATGGAAGAAAATACTAACTCTTAATGTTTCGTATTTTTTAGATTTACTTACCCTCCAACACCTCCAAAAAGTGCCTCATCTCATTCTCGTACCCCTCTTGATACCTCGACGGAAAAGAATAGTGAATCGGCGCCCTCACCACATCCCGCTCCGTATACGTCTCCACATTGTAAATCGGCTGTCGGTTTTCGGCCTTAATCATCCCCTTCTGCCCGAAGACTTCCACCCTTTGATCATAACCGTAAGTGCTGTGACGGCTTAGATCTATAATTCCGATTGCTCCGCTGGCGAACGATAACATAATTCCCACGGTATCATAATCATTGATTTCCGCAATTTCTGGTATGTTCGCGTTAGCGGCGACCGTAACTTTTGTGGGGTATTCCCCCAAGATGTATAAAGTCATGTCGATGTCATGAACGGCGCAGTCGTGGAAGATGCCACCCGATGTGCTTAAATATTGAATCGTGGGCAACGGAGAATCTCGGCTGCAAACTTTCACGGTCAGGACTCTGCCGACGTCCCCGGCCCGGACCCGGTTCCTGATGGAGGCGAAGGAGGGGTCGAAACGTCGGTTGAAGGCGCTGAAGAGCGGCTGTTTCACCTGTTTGGCTTTGTCGTAGAGGAGTTTGGTTTGGGCGAGGTTTTCGGCCACGGGTTTCTCGCAGAAGACGCCTTTGTTGTGTGAGAGAGCCTTCGTGACGATGTCTTCATGAGTGTGAGTGGGGGATGAAATCACGACGGCTCGGACTCTGGGGTCTTTGAAAGCAACGTCGGATTCTGCATTCGTCAAAAATTTGACGGACTCCAAATTCCAGTATTTTTTTAGTTTTTCGAGCTTGGTTTTGTCGTCGTCTATGACATAGAGTAGGTCGGTTTTTGGTTCTTTTATCAAGAACGACAAATGAATGGTACCGGCCCTTCCCACACCGAATAACGCGAATCCGAATTTTTGGTGCTTACCAACTGTAGATAGTTCGAGGTTTTTTTCATATCTGAAACGGTTATGTTGGTAGTGGAAAGTTACATTATAGTTGGAGTCTTACTCTTGGTATTTGGTGTCTTCTGGTGGACAACCAGCTGCAGGTACTACGTAAGGAGAAGGTTTCTTGTACTTGAGAGTCGCCATTTTCGTAAATGTGTCGATTTTTCCATGAATGGTATTTATAAATCATTATTTAGAGGTTATCGCCAGTTGTTGAATAGTGTTATCAAATACGTAATGGTGTGATTAATAATAATTTTCGAAAAGTAAACTTTGATACGTATTGTGGGGCATTTGGGCTAAAATACATAGAAATTTCTTTGATTTTAATTTGTTTTTGCTAAAAATGAGTGTTTTGTCTTCTGTGTGAAAGAGGAGATATGTAATAACCTTTTCGACAGTTTCTTTTCACGATTAAAATTTATTTGTTAGCAAATTTTTCCACAAAAATGCCACATATACGATTTAATTTTAATTCCACAAGATATCACGTGTTAAAAGGCCACGAAAACAACCTATTGTTGATACAATTAGCAAAGATTAATAAAAATAGAAATTAAATGGTGTGGAAAATATTTTGCTCTAGAGTAATTTGGGCAGAAAAAGAAATCAAAATAATGAAGCATTTTAAAGACATTGTAAACATGATGAATGTTTAGTCAAACATTTTTTGTTTGTCCCTTCGAAAAACTTGATGACATCATGTAAATTATTCAGTTACTAGAACAATTACTTAAAAAACTAATGAACAATCACAGGAATAAATATAGGCAAAATAGCAAAAGAATTTACCATTGAAAAATTTAATGGAAAAAATTTTAACGCGAATCAATGGATAAGTAGTTTTGAAAAAAAAAAATGTGAAAGATTCAATATAATAGAAAATGAGAAAAAAATCGAGATTTTAAAATCATTCATGGACAAAGGTACAACAATACACTCTTGTAACTTACTATTAATGCAGAATGGGAATATTGGAAAAAAAACTTTTATGATACATTTTCTAGTAAAGGTTGGTCTTCAATAAGATATGCAATGTCATTTAAATATCAAACCGGCGAAATGAGGATTTTGCAACTAAACTCCGCCCTTCAACTCAGGATGAATAAAATATACGTCACAATTGAGTAGGGGTGGGTGGGCGGGGCTTATATTTTGTCCAATTTTTCTTAATATATGAAGTCTTCTTTTCGTAACAAGAAACTGAAAACATGTTTAACTATTCTGTTGTTGAAAAGAACTCTATACAATAAAAAAACAAAAAAAATGTAAGCCCCACCCACCCGCCCGGATTTCAATTGTGATGAGTTTTTACAGGTGGAGTTTAACTGTAACATCAATATTTCTCTAGAAAATTCTACCCCTTTAAAGACATATTCCATATGATAATTTCTTGTAGAGAAATGAGGATTTACAACTAAACTCCGCCTCTCGACTCACGATGAATAAAGCATTCGTCACAATTGAGAAGGGGTGGGTGGGCGGGGCTTATATTTTGTCCACTTTTTCTTAATATACAGAAAACATGTTTAACTATTCTGTTGTTGAAAAAAACTCTATTTATTAAAAAAACAAAAAAAGTAAGTTCATTTCCTTTATTTTCTGTGTTTTTTTTTCGATTTTACAATTTTTCAAATTTTTTTGGATTTGCAGTTTTTGGATTTCCAGTCTTTCCAATTTCTCTCATTCATATATTCCTTTTTTTTTCATTTTTCACTTTTTGGATTTTTAAGATTTTTCAAGTTTTCATTTTGTAATTTTTCGTTTTTTTTTGGATTTTTCAACTTTACAATTTATCGACTTCTAAAATTTTCAATTTTTCGTTGCTTCAATCCTTCGGTTTGCATCAGTTTTTCAATTTGGCAATTTTTCAATATTACAGTTTTTCATTTTTCGATTTACAGTTCCTCAATTTTTAATTTTTCCCTTTTCCAATTTTTTTGTTTCCGATTTTTAGTTTCCATTTTCCCGATTTTTTAATTTTCACTTTTTCAATTTTATATTACAATTTTTCGTATTTTCATTTCCTTTATTTTTTGTTGTTTCTTTCGATTTTACAATTTTTCGTTTATTCAGTTTTTCAAATTTTCAGGTTTTTTTTAATTTTTCTTCAAATTTTCAAGTTTGATTTCCACTTTTTACATTTTTCGAGTTTTTATTATACACTTTTTCGCTTTTTTACTTGTTGATTTTTCAATTTTACAATTTGTTTTTTTTAATTTTTCCCCTTTTCAATTTTTCAACTCCCCGATTTTTATGCGTTTTCCTGATTTTTTATTTTTCATTTTCTCGATTTTATATCACAATTTTTTGTTTTTTCATTTCCTTTACTTTTTTGTTGTTTCTTTCGATTTACAATTTTTTATTTATTCGATTTTTCAAATTTTCAGACTTTGATTTTCAATTTTCTTGATTTTCCACGTTTACAATTTTTTAATTTGCAGTTTTTGAATTTCCAATCTTGTAATTTTTCTATTTCTTTAATTTTCAATATTTTGATTTTACAATTCATATTTCTTGTTTTTTATTTTTCACTTTTTCGAATTTCAAGTTTTTCAGTTTTTAATCTTTCGATTTTTCAGATTTTCGTTTCTTCAAATTTTCATGTTTGATTTTCACTTTTGACATTTTTCAAGTTTTCATTATACTTTTTCCTTTTTTGATTTTTCACTTTTTCGAGTTGCAATTTTTTAATTTTGCAATTTTTCGATATTACAGTTTCTCATTTTTCGATTTTTCACATTCTCAGATTTTAATTTTTGTCATTTTCAATTTTTCGTTTCCTCAATTTTTCAAGTTCTCGATTTTTATTTTTCATTTTCCCGATTTTATGTCACAAATTTTCATTTTTTCAATTCCTTTATTTCTTGTTGTTTCTTTCGATAGTTCAATTATTCGTTTCTACAATTTTTCGAATTTTCAATTTCTCAATTTTTCGTTTCCACAATTTTTCATGTTCTCGATTTTTATTTTTCAATGTGGCCAATTTTTAATTTTTATTTTTTCGATTTATATCACAATTGTCCGTTTTTAAATTTCCTTTATTTTGTGTTTTTTTTTTCAATTTTACAATTTTTCAAATTTTCAGGCTTTGAATTTTCAGTTCGTCTATTTTTCAATTTTTAAATTTTTCACTTCGCAGTTTTTCGATTTCCAGTCTTCCGATTTTCCAATTTCGTTAATTTTCAATATTTCTATTTCATAATACATATTTCTTTTTTTTTTACTTTGTCGATTTTTAAGATTTTTCAAGTTTTCATTTTGTAATTTTTCCGTTTTTTTTTTTGGATTTTTCAACTTTACAATTTATCGTCTTCCAAAATTTTCAATCTTTCGTTCCTTCAATTTTTCGGTTTGCATCAGTTTTTTAATTTGGCAATTTTTCGATATTACAGTTTTTCATTTTCCAATTTTTTTGTTTCCGATTTCTATTTTTCATTTTCCGGTTATTTAATTTTCACTTTTTCGATTTTATATCACGATTTTTCGTTTTTTCATTCCCTTAATTTTTTGTTGTTTCTTTCGATTTTACAATTTTTGACACTCAATTTTTCAAATTTTCAGGTTTTTTTCAATTTTTCTTCAAATTTTTAAGTTTAATTTTCACTTTTTACAGTTTTCAAGTTTTTATTATACACTTTTTCGTATATTTATTTTTGATTTTTCAATTTTACAATTTGTCAATTTTTTATTTTTCCCTTTTTCAATTTTTCAACTCCCCGATTTTTATTTTGCGTTTTCCTGATTTTTTGTTTTTCATTTTTTCGATTTTATATCACCATTTTTTGTTTTTTTATTTCCTTTATTTTTTGTTGTTTCTTTCGATTTGCAATTTTTTATTTACTCAATTTTTCAAATTTTCATGATTTTCCACGTTAAAAATTTTTTAATTTGCAGTTTTTGGATTTCCAATCTTGCAATTTTCCAATTTCTTTAATTTTCAATATTTTGAGTTTACAATACATATTTATTTTTTTTAATTTTTCATTTTTTCGAATTTCAAGTTTTTCAATTTTTAATCTTTGGATTTTTCAAATTTTCGTTTCTTCAAATTTTCATGTTTGATTTTTACTTTTGACATTTTTCAAGTTTTCGTTATATACTTGTTCGTTTTTTTATTTTTGATTTTTCAATTTTCGATTCCTCAATTTTTTAAGTTCTCGATTTTTATTTTTCATTTTCCCGATTTTATGTCACAAATTTTCATTTTTTCAATTTCTTTATTTCTTTTTCCTTTCGATTTTTCAATTTTTCGTTTTTTGAATTTTTCGAATTTTCAGTTTTTCAATTTTTCGTTTCCACAATTTTTCATGTTCCCGATTTTTATTTGTCAATGTGACGAATTTTTACTTTTTATTTTCTCGATTTATATCACACTTGTCCGTTTTTTCATTTCCTTTATTTTCTGTTTTTTTTTTCGATTTTACAATTTTTCAGTTGTTCAATTTTTCAGATTTTAAATTTTCAGTTCGTCAATTTTAAAATTTTTCACTTTGCAGTTTTTGGATTTCCAGACTTCCGGTTTTCCAATTTCTTTAATTTTTAATACATATTTCTATTTCATAATACATATTTCTTTTTTTTTCACTTTTTCGGTTCTTAAGATCTTTCAAGTTTTCATTTTGTAATGTTTCGTTTTTTATTATTGATTTTTCAATTTTACAATTTCTCGACATCCAAAATTTTCAATTTTTCGGTTTACATCAGGTTTTCAATTTGGCAATTTTTCAATATTACAGTTTTTCATTTTTCGATTTTTCAGTTTCTGAATTTTTAATTTTTCCCTTTTCCAATTTTTTTGTTTACGATTTTTATTTTTCATTTTCCCGATTTTTTAATTTTCACTTTTTCAGTTTTATATCACAATTTTTCGTTTTTTCATTTCCTTTCAAGTTTTTATTATACACTGTTTCGTTTTTTTATTTTTGATTTTTCAATTTTACAATTTGTCGATTTCCAAATTTTCCAATTTCTCATTTTTCCATTTTTCACATTGTCGATTTTTAATTCTTCCCTTTTTCAATTTTTCGTCCCCTCAATTTTTCAGATTTCGCGTTTCCCTGATTTTTTATTTTTCATTTTCTGGATTTTATATAACAATTTTTAGTTTTTTCATTTCCTTAATTTTTGTTACTTCTTTCGATTTTCCAATTTTTCGTTTATTCAATTT